AATCTGTATCCAACACATGACATTATATGTTTTTCACACATGCGATATCACTAAAACTACACTTGAACTAACATTGAAATGCATGCAACACGAAGACACGTCAATCTCATCATCCCACATACATGAATGGCCTAGCAGAAGAAATCATATCACTATAGTTAGCCAACGAACAAATAGAAAGCACATGTATATTATATGCTAATCTGATAACAAAGGAGAGGAAGAAAATACGAGCACCGCAACAAAAGTTAACGGTAGTGACTTTTGAGTATAACATTTCAGCCCCTCCCCGTAATGTTAAAAAGAATTAGGCGCAAGTTACTGAACAATAACGTGGGTGTGTAAGATACGTATTGTAGTCACTAACCTCGTTTTCTATGATGAACATCATTCGACAAAAGTGGTGGAACTTGATGGAGAATGTTGAGAGGGCCAAAACATAGTCGAGAGGCCAAGAGTAATATTTTATATTTAAGCTTGAAAATTAAGAAGATCCTAAATCATTTTCAGAGTAGGGTGGCCATGGCCCTCTTTGGCCCTAGGAAGCTCCACCACTGATGGCAAACCCACCACCCTCGCGGGTATCAACAACTTATATTTTCTAAACTCAGAGAAGCAGGGATGTCTCTAGAAATTTGGGGCCTCGGTGCGAAATGCAAATTATGGCCCTAAAGTTTCTATAATACACAGTTTTTTAATAAAATAAATTCTAATTAATTCAAACATTGCATAAATTTTAGGCTTGTCAAGATAATATAACAAAAAAAAGACTAAAACTAGATTTTAAAGGAGCAACTGTCTTGGATATCTTGGTGTGTATCAACTTGATCAACTAACCTACTATATATAAACAACAACAACAAAGCCTTTAGTCCCAAACAAGTTGGGGTAGGCTAGAGGTGAAACCCATAAGATCTCGCAACCAACTCATGGCTCTGGCACATGGATAGCAAGCTTCCACGCACCCCTGTCCATAGCTAGCTCTTTGTCGATACTCCAATCCTTTAGGTCTCTCTTAACGGACTCCTCCCATGTCAAAATCGGTCGACCCCGCCCTCTCTTGACATTCTCCGCACGCTTTAGCCGTCCGCTATGCACTGGAGCTTCTGGAGGCCTGCGCTGAATATGCCCAAACCATCTCAAACGATGTTGGACAAGCTTCTCCTCAATTGGTGCTACCCCAACTCTATCTCGTATATCATCATTCCGGACTCGATCCTTCCTCGTGTGGCCACACATCCATCTCAGCATACGCATCTCCGCCACACCTAACTGTTGAACATGTCGCCTTTTAGTCGGCCAACACTCCGCGCCATACAACATTGCGGGTCGAACCGCCGTCCTGTAGAACTTGCCTTTTAGCTTTTGTGGCACTCTCTTGTCACAGAGAATGCCAGAAGCTTGGCGCCACTTCATCCATCCGGCTTTGATTCGATGGTTCACATCTTCATCAATACCCCCATCCTCCTGCAATATTGACCCCAAATACCGAAAGGTGTCCTTCCGAGGTACCACTTGGCCATCAAGGCTAACCTCCTCCTCCTCACAACTAGTAGTACTGAAACCGCACATCATGTACTCGGTTTTAGTTCTACTAAGCCTAAACCCTTTCGATTCCAAGGTTTGTCTCCATAACTCTAACTTCCTATTTACCCCCGTCTGACTATCGTCAACTAGCACCACATCATCCGCAAAGAGCATACACCATGGGATATCTCCTTGTATACCCCTTGTGACCTCATCCATCACCAATGCAAAAAGATAAGGGCTCAAAGCTGACCCCTAATGCAGTCCTATCTTAATCGGGAAGTCATCGGTGTCGACATCACTTGTTCGAACACTTGTCACAACATTATTATACATGTCCTTGATGAGGGTAATGTACTTTGCTGGGACTTTGTGTTTCTCCAAGGCCCACCACATGACATTCCGCGGTATCTTATCATAGGCCTTCTCCAAGTCAATGAACACCATATGCAAGTCCTTCTTATGCTCCCTATATCTCTCCATAAGTTGTCGTACCAAGAAAATGGCTTCCATGGTCGACCTCCCAGGCATGAAACCAAACTGATTTTTGGTCACGCTTGTCATTTTTCTTAAGCGGTGCTCAATGACTCTCTCCCATAGCTTCATTGTATGGCTCATCAGCTTAATTCCACGGTAATTAGTACAACTCTGAACATCCCCCTTGTTCTTGAAGATTGGTACTAATATACTCCGTATCCATTCTTCTGGCATCTTGTTTGCCCGAAAAATGAGGTTGAAAAGCTTGGTTAGCCATACTATCGCTATGTCCCCGAGACCTTTCCACACCTCAATGGGGATACAATCAGGGCCCATCGCCTTGCCTCCTTTCATCCTTTTTAAAGCCTCCTTCACCTCAGACTCCTGGATGCGCCGCACAAAACGCATGCTGGTCTCATCAAAGGAGTCATCCAGTTCAATGGTAGAACTCTCATTCTCCCCATTGAACAGCTTGTCGAAGTACTCCCGCCATCTATGCTTAATCTCTTCGTCCTTCACCAAGAGTTGGCCTGCTCCGTCCTTGATGCATTTGACTTGGCCAATATCCCTCGTCTTCCTCTCCCGGATCTTAGCCATCTTATAGATGTCCCTTTCACCTTCCTTCGTGCCTAACCGTTGGTAGAGGTCCTCATATGCCCGACCCCTTGCTTCACCAACAGCTCGCTTTGCGGCCTTCTTCGCCATCTTGTACTTCTCTATGTTGTCTGCACTCCTATCCAGGTATAGGCGTCTGAAGCAATCTTTCTTCTCTTTAAGCGCCTTCTGGACATCATCATTCCACCACCAGGTATCCTTATCTTCGCTTCTCCTTCCCCTGGACACTCCAAACTCCTCCGAGGCCACCTTACGAATGTAAGTCGCCATCTTCATCCACACATTGTCCGCATCCCCTCCTTCCTCCCAAGGGCCCTCCTTAAATACCCTCTCCTTGAACACCTGAGCTACCTTCCCCTTGAGCTTCCACCACTTCGTTCTAGCGACCTTGGCACGCTTATCCCGTTGGACACGAATCCGAAAGCGGAAGTCAGCAACCACCAACTTATGCTGGGGTACAACACTCTCCCCAGGTATCACCTTACAGTCTAGGCACGCACGTCTATCTTCTCTTCTCGAGAGGATGAAATCAATCTGGCTAGAGTGTTGGCCACTACTAAAAGTCACCAGATGTGAATCTCTCTTTCTAAAGAGGGTGTTAGCTACAATCATGTTGTAGGCTAGAGCAAAGCTTAAGCCATCTTCTCACTAACCTACTATATATCTTCACTAAAAATTTGATTGATGAACTGATGCATATGCACAGAATAGACTCACTGATATAATTATTCAACACTACAAAGTAGTATATTAAATAGGGATTTAATTCAAGTGCACCTGATGGACAGATCGGCCATCTACTGCTTCTACTTGTGCATTGGGATTTGCTGCAACTTTCTGAGCATCCGGCAGCTAGCGGAATCATGGAATCAGTTCTTCATACAAGAAGGGCTATGCATTGTGTCTCCAGGCACGAAATGAAGCATTCAAAAGCGAGACAACATCCCTGACCTACGTATGCCGCACTCCCGTCAGTTCGTCTCCGCCACACTTTCGCCAATCAATAATCCTATACCCACGTAAAGCTACGAAATATTTCTACGTAACCTTCCTAAATCCTTCTCAGCCCCCCTGATTTCAGGGGGGTGGAGCCTCATCCTCCCTCTTCCCCAATGATGATTATCCACGTTGCTAATCACGTAAAGTACGTAACTTCTGCTACGTAGGTGTAGCATTACCGTTCGCCAATTCGTCTCAGGAAAGATCGATGGATTGGCAGACTGTAGATCGGGACTTGGGAAAGGCTCGTTTCGGGAGATTTAGGAGCAGGCCCGATTTGGGGAGCAAGCGACTAGCTGTGAAAAAAGGACCCAAAACAAAAATAGACATTGGACCCAAAACTGGAGGGCCTGGAATTTGGGGGCCCTGTGCGGTTGCACAACCCGCATAGGCCCATGGAAGGCCCTGCGGAGAAGGATGGGGACAAGAATGGAAATGGGATGTGTTGACGACAACCACATGAAGCAACTCGTGTGGCCGTGATTGTGAACACGTTGTAAAACTTGGTTGACCCCACACATGAATCATAAATTAGGAGAACTAAATGGGGCGTGTAGGACATCATGTCAGTTGTTTTTCTTTATTGTTTTGCTAATATAGTTCACGTAAGCACATCAATATTTTTTTTTGCGGAGAATCATAGGGTTTATTATTCCAAAATGACAGAGTTATAATCCTCAGCGACTAAGTCACTGACACAAGGAGGTGGTTGCCCCAGCCAACAAGCTATACTTGTTTGCGTTGGTTCTGTCACTTTTCTTCTAGACTAGATAAATACTCATAAAAAATGTAGCGTGTCCATACTTGTTTTGAGGAACTATATAATTGCATGTGTGTTGCAACAAGGCATAAATATCTAGTAGGTTAGCCCGTAATTTACCTGCTCATATTAATATGATTTTATAAAAGTATATTCTAACATTTATTTAAGTAATTAAGCACTTATTGAATTACATGTTATTTGATAAGGTAATAAAAAGTGGATCAATTGAGGTGGTTCTTAGGGAAAATTGACAAAAAAATGGAGAAAAAAATAAAAAACGCGAGAGGGAGGGGAAACGTATGAAAGAGAATCGGACGACAATACCTTACATAAGTTTTAATGTTTATTTTTATTAATTTTAATAAAAGATTTAAGGAAAAATGAGTGTATTTTTTATGTGAAGATGGAAAACTGTGTGTAATGAGTCCATTTCCATTACCTTCGGCCCGCTTAGCCTAGATAGTCTGTCTGGGCCACAGTGTTAGGCCCTGCAATCCCCTTCCCTCTTCTCAGAACCCACCGTAGAAACAAGCACCCTCCGCGCCGCCGGCCGCCGGCCGCCGTGTCCGTTTCAGTCTCCGAATCCCTCATCCCCCGTTGCCTCGCGTTCCCAAGCCACATGATATCCCCCAACCTCCCCCTCCGGCTCCGCCACCTCCGCTGCCTTCTCGCCGCGGCGCCCTTGTCCTCCCCCGCCGCCGCATACTACTCGCGCGCATCCTCCCCACCTTCAAACCGCGCTCAGGCCCTGCCCCCGCCCCCGCCACCGCGGCGCCATCTCCCGGACCTCCCGGCGCGACGGTTCTCCTCCGGGCACGTCCTCCTCCCCACCAACCTCCAGGAGGAGCACGTCGCGTCTCTGTCCGACAGGATCTACCACGCGGTGACAGAGACAGAGGAGGGCTCCAACGAGGGCACGGAGGCCGCCCTCGACGCGCTGGGCGCCGAGCTGACCACCCCGCTCGTGGCCGACGTGATGCACCGCCTGCGCTACGAGGAGAAGCTGGCCTTCCGCTTCTTCGCCTGGGCGTCCCAGCAGGACAACTACGAGCACGAGCACCGCACGTACAACGACATGATCGACATCCTCTCCGGGACGCGGTACAAGTCCCGCCAGTTCGGCGTCCTCTGCGACGTGCTCGACCACATGAAGCGCCACGGCACGAGGTCGGTGCCGGTCGAGGACCTGCTGGGCATCCTGCGCGCCTACACCGAGAAACACCTCACCAACCTTAGGAAGCTGGCGAAGAAGCGGCGGGTGCGGATGCGCACGCCGCCGGAGACCGACGCGCTCAACATCCTCCTGGACGCGTTTTGCAAGTGCGGGATGGTCAGGGAGGCGGAGACGGTGTTTGGTCGCGTGAAGAAGAAGCTGCAAGGAAATGCCGAGACCTACAGCATCCTCTTCTTTGGGTGGTGCCGCGCCAGGGACCCCAAGAAGGCCATGAAGGTGCTCGAGGAAATGGTTGAGATGAAGCACACCCCAGAGAACTTCACGTACATTGCTGCTATTGACTCGTTCTGCAGCGCTGGTTTGATCTCGGAGGCAAGAGAGTTGTTTGAGTTCATGAGGACCGAGGGATCGAAGATATCCTCTCCCACTGCTAAGGTATATGCTATTATGATTGTTGCGCTAGCCAAAGCTGATCGGATGGATGAGTGCTTTGAGCTGATTTCAGATATGATTAAACGAGGCTGCATGCCTGATGTATCAACCTTTAAAGATTTGATTGAAGGCATGTGCTTGGTGGATAGACTCGATGCTGCCTACTGCATTTTGGAGGAGATGGGGAAGGCTGGGTTTCCTCCTGACATTGTCACTTACAATTGCTTTCTTGAGGTACTTTGTCGTCTTCAGAAGGCTGATGATGCGCTCAAACTCGCCGAGAGGATGATAGAAGCACACTGTGAGCCCAGTGTTCATACTTACAATATGCTGATGGTGATGTTTTTTGAGATGAGAGAGCCACACAGGGCACTCGATATTTGGACTGAAATGGACAAGAGAGGATGTCGACGTGCTGTTGATACCTACGAAATAATGATTGATGGGCTGTTTGATTGTGGAAGAACGGAAGATGCAACCACTCTTCTAGATGAAGTAATAAACCATGATATGAAACTGTCGTACAAGAAGTTCGATTCTATCATGCTGCAATTGTCAGCTGTTGGCAACCTTGGCGCAATACATCGGCTTTCAGAGCATATGAGAAAATTTTACAATGTTGCAATGTCAAGACGTTTTTCGATCACACAGAAGAAGAAGAGCATTGGTATTAGAAGGAGATGAGTTCTGCAAGATTTATTGTTAGCACGAATAGTCAAGAGCGTACATGAGGTAACCACTTCCCTGGTTTTACTGGCAAGTGCCAACTATTAGTAGCCGTATTAGACGTGCTGCATTCTGTACAGTTTTGGTCATCAGTACTTATTTTGCCTACTTTTCCCTGAGCAAGGAGGGCCTAAGTTACATATGGATGCTAATCACATGGACATCGTTTTACCAAAGGGCAGCTAACAGCAACACAATGTACTCTAATGTGTAGTTGTATTGCAATATTTCAAACTTAAACTTTAGAATCAAAATGGTTGCTACAATACTGTGGTAGGCAATCACGTTTTTGGTGGCTAACACTTGCGTTTTGTATATTGTTTCAATGGAATTTCCCTCATATATCTTACTCCCTCCGGTCCGTATTACTTGTGTGTTAGATATATCCGTATCTAGACAAATCTAAGCAAGTAATATGGATCGGAGGGAGTAGCACTTGTCGGCTGCCCACCCCTTCTCTAAAAATCAGTTTGCTGCCTGAGATAAATTCAATTTAACCTATGCAACAGTACAGTAGATGGATCAATATAAACGATAAACCAGTGTGTTTCAATCGACTTTAGTTTTATCCTTATATCATACCTGCATTTGCTGGTATAGCTTGGTTTGCAGTCCTACCTTACCCCACTCCAAAAACCAGTTCACTGCCTGAAAGAAATGCAGAGAAACCTACGTGGCAATAAAGATATACTAAGACTTTCCGCTATTTTAATTTAAACAAGCTATGATGTAAATACTCTGGAACCTGGACCAATTTATTATTTTACCTACTGAAATATGAAAATCCCTTACTTGATTGCTTCTGTTTTAAACACTTTCTGTTGTAAAGCTCTGAGTTTTCCTTTTACTTGACCAAGATGAATTGGCTTAATGCAAACTTAGTGTAAAACCTATTGTTTGTGTTATGAAAGTAGCCAGCTAAACCAGTCTACTGCCTAAACCAATTTGCCCTTTGTTGGTTTTCCCGTTCCACACATATTTTTGGTCTCTTCAGGCAAATAAGTGATGTCCTTTTCTTCTATTACAGAAATCACAAGGATATACTGTATTGATTAACGATAATATGCTAACTCTCACCGAAAGTTAAAGAAATACCAATTATTGAAAACTTGCATACTTGAGGGCAGAGAAAATGCAGGACAAGATGGCTAGTTGTAGCAGGTTTGAGCAGATATAACTAACTGTAGCCAATCATCGCCATCCTGACTGTAAGCAGTAGGGAGATGAGAACTTGAATCGTAGCAGTGTTGATCTAGTTCAAAAAAGTAGTAAAGGCAGTAACTAGTTTCAGTAATGGTGTCTGGTTTTTTTTTGTTCCAAAGCGCAATTATTGGTGGTATATGTGCTTCTGTGAGATATTTATGTTCATTCTGGCTTCTGTGAGATATTTATGTTCATTCTGGTGATGACACGACAAGTTCATCGATTAGACTAACCAAGGACGTAACTTGCAGTTCTTTGGCCTTTACTTTCTGATTGGATTTAAGCCGAGTTATCTATAAAACATACATATTTTCTTTTTTACAGGGTGGTTGATACAAGTGTGCACATTTTGTCGGAGCAATATGCAGTGGAAGCAGCGTATGAACCGAAGTACTTTGCCAAGGAAACAGGCAATGTGAGTATGTTTTCATTTGCTTTATACATCATATGCACACCCCATGAAGCTTTTTCCTTAGTTCTATTGTGGAACCTTTTTCATCTTCTTTTTTTGCCGCTCTCTCAAATGAACCACAAAGGCCCAAGACTGAATTTCCTGTCATTAAGCATGCAATTCGACACAACTTTTCTTGTCTCCACGTGACAACCAAAATCAATTTCAGATACTCTGGAGTCTCGAGAGCCCAGCTTGTCTGGGAACATGTTACTAGCAGACTTATTTCAAGCAGAATCTTACTCATCCAGTTATTAGAACAGAAATGAGGGGGGTTCCGGTTTAAAAAAGAAGAGGTGAATGCCAGATGCACTTATTTTCCACAGAACATCTGCATTCCTTCCTGCGTTATTGGTACGCTACAAAAAACAAGAAACACCAATGAGCAGATATGCTTGTATACACTATGGCGATACTGAACAAATGTGATTGCTTGGCTGCTATTCAAAGCTGTCCACCTCTGAAAAAACTGTCCTGCTAACCGTAGCTAGTTTGCTGATCAGATGATATTAAACTAGGAACACCGGGTAATGGATTAACTATCACATGCTAGAGTAAACAAATTGACTGACAACGAAAATGCGTCACACATAGCACTTCAGTGTAGCTGAAATCGTTACTAACTGGGATATGCCCTTTTTTCTGAAGTCTTATATTACCAAGCTTTGATGGCTGGAGCCAGCTGAAGGATAGATCAGGTTTTGATCTTGCTGTTTGTCAGTGTGCTGCACTTTTTTGCTATACCGATCAATATATTACTGTAGATTGACTAGCTCTAACTCTGTACTGGAGCGGGTTATACCATCTCTTCAGCTGCATTGCTTTTGGAAAAGAGCGGCAGCGTTGCTGAATACCCCCCAGTTGATCCATGTTTACATTGAGCTCATATCTTCTACTCCCTCCGTCCCAAAATAAGTGTCTCAAGTTTGTACTACCTTTAGTACAAAGTTGTACTAAGCTCGAGACATTTAGTTTGGGACAGGGAGTATGAACAAGGTCTTGGTCAAGCTTTTACTAACGGCTATGTGATGTTTGACTGTTACAGGTGGCAGCCAGTGTTGTTAAGAACAGAGTGGGCAAAATTTCGTGGCCGGGCTTGGCTTCCTAGCCCCATACCAACTGTGCTGTGTGACCTGTGAGCAACTACTAGTCAGCTAGGCGCAGGACAGCATAGGCGCATAGCATGGAATAGCTGCATGTTGAGAACCTGGAATATAATGACGCAGAAGAAATTTTGGGACTGAGAGCCTGGGATACCATCGTGCTGCAGTGCAAGCAAATTATCTGAACTCGTGGTGCCATGCCATGCCATGGCCCGTCCTCCAACGAGGTGGGTATGCTAAGTTTTCATGAGTTCCGAGGTAGAAAGACGGCTGGTTCTGACGGAAAAGAAACCTTTGTCAAGTGATTTCGGTTTCCATCTCATCATTTTTTATTTTTTATCTTGAGATCAAGTTTTCATCTCATCAGAGCCGACCCTTGGGCAGGGCGAGAAGGGTGTGGCTCACGCCCAAATTGAGGCCAGTTATTTCAACATAGGCCCATTCTGTTCCTTACATACAACTAACAGAAAAACAAAACATCCAAGAAACCCTGGTCTATTATTGTGGAGACATGGAACCACAAGATGAGATGGGTACCGTGATTTCCTGAAATTGGATGAACGGTACCAGCTGTTACTTAGGAATTCACCCTTTTTAGGGACCTTTTCTCTGTCCTTGTTGGACCCAAGCACAATACTTGTAATTGTAGCATTTTTAAGAAACCCCTTTCAGTTAAAATTAGCATAAAGCTACTTGAGCCGGTCAGAACATAGATTGGATCTGATGAACGTGTTTATATTCAGCAAAATATTTCACATACAAGTTTTTTTTAATCGTTTTTAATGGTTTACAACCACATCTTCACATCTTGTTGTATAGACTTCTTTTTTCTGGATTAATTTTTATCTTCTAACGACCTAAAGCATCATAGCTCGATTTCAAATATGAAGTTGCTTACCACACATACCGTGTGGTTTGTCGTATAAACTTTTGATGTATATACTTATGCAAGTGAAACAATATATGTTATATTAGTCATTTACTGTTTTTAGTTCTGCACCGGCCATGGAAAGATGTTACCACATTTTTAGTATACATGTTATTTAAAGTGAGGATGTCAATAGTTGAATTTTCATCAAATGGGTTAAAAAGAAAATCTTCTACAATTTATAAATAAATATTGCCTCCTAAGCAGTATAAAATATTGCCTCCTGAGCAGCTCTATATTTTCAAACAATAAAAAAAATTATAAGCAGAAAAAAAAGTGTGCAAATGTCAGAATGCACTATTGGTGAGTGAAGAAAATTAGTTCTATTTGCAATTTGCGTAGAGAAACAAAACAGGGTGATCTATAATTGTGAATAGGGCTACTAGTGGTTACTATTTTAGATCAGCATATTGTCTTTTTTGTGTCATTCTAACATGTACCGGCTAGAACCACCTTTTTTGTTTTTTTATGTATTTTTTGAATATTCAAAATAAAGATATTCATGGTGCTTGAGAGTAAAAACAATCATCACTCATTTCGTTACACATGCAACACATTTATCTTCGCCCACCATCATTTTAACATATGCGGTCACATGTTTGCCATGTTAGACATAAGATATAGTGATACATAACTATTGTCTCGACATTGAAGAAAGGAGAAGAGTGTGTCTTCTAGGTCCGGACCACCATACTATACTACATCCGATTCAAAAAGTTGTACTAAGGAAGCATCAATTAATTTGGATTGGAGGGAGTATCATATTTGTAATTCTACCGAGATGACAAAATTGATCTCGACCGGAAGCTTAAACGCCAACACTTGGGGTCCAAAAGACACATGGTGACTAGTCACAACACAAGAGACCTCTTTTTTTTAGACAATCAACGAAGCTTTATAAAGCCATCACAATGTTCAAAGGGACGAAAGAAAGATCACTGGGGTGGCCTAACCAAACGCGACGGCCAACCCCTAGTTGTAAAGCACGCTTCACTAAATTATGAGCCTCGAAATTCAAACTCCTAAACTCATGAACAAAATTACATAAAGTAAAACTACTACAGTAATCTATGATTTCATGTATAATGGCACCTTAGGCTGCCCCACTCTTCTGCTTAATGTCATCGATCACCACCGTGGAATACGAAGCAACATGTGTAGATTGTAAGGTCTTCCGATAATGCCATCACCTCCTTGACAGCCAACGCTCCCAACGTGGTGGAGTGTGTGATGGACCTGAATACAATGGTTCATGCACCCAAGAACAAGCCTT